CCTATCATAAATTTAGTCTAAAAATAGCTAATATCGTCTGATTGAATGTATTGCAATATATCGTGATATATTGTATCGCCTTCCCTGTATTGTAATACGTATCGCATCGCCGTGATTTCACCAATTCACATTCCTAGTCTCTAGTATAAATTAATGCCTTGTGAGTCAATCTCTGCGGGCAAAAATCTCTGGCGCTCCTGTTTCAGGAACTAGAATTGAGCCAGATACAAGGTAAGCAGAAGATAGCAAGTTTTGTATTCTTGTTTCCTGATTGGCCTCTGATTGGCTAACAGCAACACGACTCTACCACTGACTGTTTGGATTGCAACATTTTTGTTTTATGTCCACAAATAACACAAACCTGATGGAGTCCTGCCAAATGGATGTAATTGCTAATGCTAAAGGTTAGCTTCAACTAGCCATGCTCTGCTCTCTCCTGGATGCTAATTCAACAACAACCTTCCCCGTAGAGAACCAACATGGGTGAGTCCATGAATGTTTTTTTTTCAGTGTAACATGCCAATGACTGGCTTTTCTGATCCGAGAGTTTCCCTGTTTGTTGTCTATCTGCGGCTAATGCAGGAAGCAGGGGTAGGAGACGATTTTCACGTTTAGCCTGCATGTTAAATTAAGAGGGACCGATCATCTTTCAAAACTGACAAGTAAAAAGGGATTTTCAGTGAACTGGGCCTTTAATAATAGCAAAAAAAATTTTCAACATGGGTTTTATTTTGAAATATACCATCTCACTTCCATCCTGGCTCATTTTATTTCTTTAACTTCATGGCAATTTGCATGTGGCGTCCAGAAAAAAAGACTGCATCCAGATCTGTAAGGCAGCTGGTGTGAATGCTCTGATTCGACTGGTCGTTTTCTGGACTCTGTGGAAGCCGTACGGAGTCCGGAGTCTGGACCCCATCCATCCCGTACTCAGTGTGAATGAGGTATTGCACCAATGCCAGATCGCGGAGAAATGAGTAATATTATACAACTGTAAAGCAATGTATTTACAAAACAAGGGTGAATGCATTTCACAAAAACGCCGACAGGTTTTTCCAGGATCTTGTTCCCATGAACAAATCGAGGCACATGGAAGAGTTTCTAACGGCTGCACATTTGCAAAACACTCCTGTCATCAAGACTTGTTAGTTTTTTCATGCACCACAGACCTCTGTTACACCACCCTACCCTCCACCCCTCAGGCCAGGGTAGGAGAAACAGTCACACCTGAATCACACATTTTTTTCAATGCAGAGCCAGAATATGATGATGCAGCAGTGAATCGACAGGATTCCTGTGCCCAAACAACATCCGTCAGACGTGAGAACCATCAGAGGAAACACCGATAAGGTGGAAACACGTTCCGTGAATTCAGCCTGTAGTAAACCCAAACGACAGATGTGAGAGTGGAGCAGGCAGAGGGAGAGGTGGAGTGAAGTAAAACAGCTTCATTCTTTCTTGGCGTGTAATTAGTCTGTATTAAGACTGTGTGCAATCTGGTATTTCCTCTAGAAACAACACTTCTTTGAGTGCAGCAGGTAAGTGCCAGGTTTGGACCTGTAATTGTATCTCAAGAGAAACATTATTACTCCATTAGCTTGGATTCAGTTACTGTTCACACTATTAAACTGGCTATATTTAAAGTTCTCTGAATAATATCAGGATTAGACAGAAGTTTGTGACGAAGAGAGATGAAGGGGAGAAGGGAGGACTGGACTGTGAGGACTGAGGGTGGTGGAAATGACCTCCCACAGGGGCTCAAAGGATCGAGTTTCAGGCGTTTACCAACAAAGCATCCACGGAGGAAGTCTTGCGACCCTCACAAAAACACCACAGCACCTGGCGATCCCCACACAGGAAATCTGAGGTCACTTCCTCCCTTTCAGGGAGCGCGGACAAGCTACTGCTTCCAGACACGTGCTCCCACATCCTACCAAGTAGGGATCTGACTACCAACGCCATACGGAGGGCATTTCTAAATGAGACGTTTACATTTTTAGACTCACCTCCTCTTATTGTGTTAGTAACAGAATCAGTCTGAACAGCTAAATGTTGGGTTGGGGTTTGCATGAAAACATGTTGATTTGGGGAGACGCCCACATCTTTTAAAATATCGGGACGCATGCCTCGACAAACTGGATCCAAAACAAGTTGAAGCGGCGTCCGAATCCACGATCAAACTTGTGATCGTGAAAACTCCTGTTTGACAGAAGCTTCAGGGGTTGTGTGGTGCTATGTAACTAATAATAATAATAATAATATTAAAAAGTGCCAGTTCTCCCTCAGAATCGCATATATCAAAGGAGGACTGGATCAACACAAATCTAAATTCTGCTCCCAAACCACCTGCATACACTTGACTTCCTCCATCATTATCTCTGTTTCAAATGGTGCCAACGCATAAAACCAGTCCGAGCTGTTCAGCCGTCATCCCAGTGCAGTTTAGAACTGGCCGTGTTCCAACCATCGCGCTGGGCTAAGGGCTAACCTTTGGAAAACACTGAGACCTCCGAGGAATGTGAGCATGGTCAATGAAACGGAGAGGGAGGAAGACGGGAAAAAAGAAAACAAATACGTTGTACAGCCTGTGGGCTCTGTCAAGGCAAACTTCCCAGCTGCTAAATGGGATAGAATGACTAGAGTTTTGGCTGCTAGAGAATTATTTCTGCTTGTTACCAGGACAAAGAGTTTGTGTAAAAATAACCTGCCAGTGGGGAGAGCACAGCAGGATTCCTCCAAGCCCTCCAGGCTATAAATTCTGCTGCTACAGACAGAAAAGAGCAGAGCTGGAGTGGCTTTGGCTGTTGTGTTAGTGAGGACGGGCTGAGCTCAGGTTCAAATACACGTTATGCAAAGAGCAGGTTCACTGAAAAACCTTTTTTTACTTCTTATTTTTGAAAATGATCGGTCACTCTGAGTTTAACATGCCGACTGAATCTTATGTCCTGCATTTGCTTCTGATAGAAACTACTCGAAAAAAACGCTTGGTTCAGAAAAGCCTGACAGATCTACGTCAAACTGTCATTTAACATTCATGGACTCGCCTATCGTGGCTCGCAACGGGGAAGGCTGTTGTTAATTTAGCATCTAGCAAACAGCAGAGAACGTCTTGGCTAGTAGAAGCTAACCGTTAGCATTAGCAACTCCACCACACAGCAGAACTCCTTCAGGCTTGTATTATTTGTGGGGATAAAAAAATCAGCTTTGGCAGAGCCGCGTTGCTGTCATCCAAATCCCAATAAAGATGTCCAAATCTTAGGAAATAAGACTCCCAATCCTATCGTCTGAAGCGTCTTTCTCCTCCGGCTGACTTCTACGTCCTCAAACAGGCACGCCAGAGCTTTTCCCCCCAGAGAATGACTTACAAGGTGTTCCTTACTAGAGACCCCTGCACATGTATTAAAGTATCAGTAAAGAATTCAACCAACCACAGCTCATGTACGATGCAGCAGGGTTTATGATTACTCTTGAAATGTAAATAAATGAACGTTTTAACAATATATCATGTTTTAACCGTACTGATTTATCAATATGAGACCGCAATAACACAAAAAATTCCAACTAATTGGAAACAAACTGCAATCATATGCTCCCCTGAATGCCCACAGCCATGGACGGTGTTCCAACATGTGGCTTTATGCTGTGGATATCACTGACTGTTACAATAAAAAAAATTGCGGTTGCATGTTTTCCTGAAATCATATAGCTCTGCTTCATTCGATGCACGATCTCTGAAGTCGGTTTAGCATTTTCCTCCTAATCGCACAGTTTTGCTCTCATTTTCTGTGCTTTCAGCCGCCGTGAATGAAATTTTCACACTAAATCACTCAATAATTTGGTGTGCAATCTTCTGAGGAAGAGCCAAATCCAATCAGACACAAACAGGTGCACAAGTGGAGAATGCTAACCTGGAAAAGGTGAAACAAATCAATAAGGAAAGGGATTGTAGTTGGAGGGCTTTAGCATAGTTTCAGTGTGTTGCTTCTGGTTTGATGCAACAAGAAGTTCATGATGCAAACATTCAACGTGATCCTTTGCTTTGATATCCAGAAATCAGTCAAATAAGTGAAACGTTCCCTTAATAATCGCCCGTTTCACATTTCACGCCTCTAATGTCTCTGACTGTCCTTCCAACTAAAGCCAAGACAACACAACGAAGGACTGTGTGAGGACTTGCAGTTTCTCCATCCCACATCTTTATCCATCCTTCTTATTAACAAGTCTGAACACTTTGCCCTTCCTCCAGCTCCCACATGAAGCAACACGTGTGCCTAGCAGACGTTACGATGATGACAGCTCACTATGTAATGCGACGTATTGATGTTCAGCCAAAACGACTCCAGACGCTGCAGCACAGACACACCCAAGCAGACGCACACTGCTCTATCCCACTTCCTCCTGCCACTGAGATGACACGTTTAGGCTTTCTGAAGGCTCACACACCAATGTTGTGCTCTTAATCCTGCTTAAATACAGGTAAGTGGCTCACATAAGCCAGCAGAGCCCGTTTTCCCACCAAGATGATGTTATTTATATGGTTTTTGGCTCACTGGTTAATTTATTTCTGTATAAGAGACAAGCGTTAAGCAGAGCGACAAAAATAGGTGTGATAATGCAGACATCTGTTGTAATTTTCTGGGACATTTTACTGAAAGGCTAAACCTTTATCCACCACCTGTTTATTCACTTTTACTGATGAAATCATAAAGAAACAGAAAAGTATGTTAAATTTTGGACTCTACTCACCCTTTGCCCTGATACACCACATGCCATCCTTTTATAAAACAATATCCAGTGGCTTATAATCCCAACATTTCTTTTATGCTCAGACTTCATTGATTCTTTCTGAACCTTTATTTTCTGTTAAAGCTTCACTTGGTATTTTAAATGGGCCTGAAACTTTGTACACGCCAATGAATTTGTTCAAATATCAGTTTTAAAGTAGTTTATCTGGTAAAAAAAAGTAGAAAAATCCATGAGGGATGTAAATTTATTCTTACCAGGAGAGAGGAAGCACCTTCCCAGCACTCTTTTCTGTCTGCTGAGTCCAGCTCTGATCAGATCTAGGATCAGTCAGGTCCTCCAACAGCGTCTCTGTAAAACTTTCTAAGTTCTGACTGAAGTCAGACCTCTGATGGATGCAGTTTGCCGGCTACTTTTGTCCTACTACTGAGGAAGTTGCTGGTGAGTCACAAGATCCCGCCTCCCCTCTAAAAAACAGACCTCCTCCCCCCTCCCTCCCTCCCTTTCTCTCTTTTAGAGACTTCAAATGAGAGCAGGGAGAAACCCAGACAGGAGGCTGGATTCCTACAAAGCATTTGTCTCAACTAGAGTCAGTTTTTAAATAGTTGAAGAGTTTTAAAGACGTTTTTGTTTACATTAAATTAATAAGTAATGTTGTTAGTGAAAATGGTCGACAACCCCAACCCAGCTGGCCAGGATCAGTAATATTTAATTGAGGCTAACGAACACAGTACATGTTTAATTATGACACTCTGCTCGTTATGGATCAACTTTTAAAAAATGGTCCTGAAATTTTAGAAGAAATCAAAATGATCTATAGGTAGCCCAAGCCATGGGTCTCCTGAAAAAAAAAGAAGAAATGAATTAAAGTCAAAAAGTTATTTTCTGGGTCCATTTAGCCTCTCGCCCTAAATCACACGCATCGTACATACTTAAAGAGCAAGTCACCCCCAAATCACCCTATATAAATGCGTGTCTAATCGTGCTGCAGACACGTGTAGTCAATCGATTTACACTTGAGTGCATTTTAGTTAAAATTTTAATTTTCTGCCTAAAACTGTCAGTGTTGTGCTGTTGTCAGGTAAAAACGCTGCACTTCATTTGAATTTAAATCTGCCATCGCTATTGGCTAAGGGGTACCCTAGAACATTAGCTGGTACCATTTGATGTCACAATGTAGTTGTGTGTGTGTGTGTGTGTGTGTGTGTGTGTGTGTGTGTGTGTGTGTGTGTGTGTGTTTGTTAGTGGCTCCGCCCTCTTGGTGTGCTAGGCCACAAAATTTGTTGCATTTTTCAAACAGGAAGTGGGAGTGAAGTAAGAATCTGGTAATGATGTGTGTTTTGACTATGTCATGTAATTTGAGATTTATTAGTTTGTAAATATCCATAATTAAAAAAAACTACAAATCAGAAGTCACATTTATGATGTCACCACAGAATCTCCTCTCCCCTAGCGTAGCTGCTGCTTACATCATCGCAAGATTTATGGTGGTTTTCTACACGTTTAATGTTCCTTCTTTCATCCTGGAAGAAGGATTGGAAGCTCGTTAAACTCACAGCCATTTTTCTTCTCCATGCCTGGTTTGATGACATTTGGTGAGACGAGGAGTTGTAGTCCAGCATGTGTTCACACAACACCTAAAAAAACCCTAAAATAACTTTTGCCACCTGTTGACAATAAGCTCTTTCTTGGCATCAAAATAGGTCTTTAAAGTTCACAGACATGATACGTTAAATCATATCTAACAGGATTAGAAAATTAATTTTATCGGCTCAAAGATTCCCATTCTTTTTATTTTTTTGGCAGTAGGAAACCCAATGATTCAGACGTAGATGGGTGTGACTTAGTCACCCCGTTGCGTTTTTAGTCTAGTCAGAGATCATGCAGAAGAATGATAATGATATAATTGTTGCCATTAAATCTTGAAAATACACTTGAATCTTTATGACCTTTTACACTCAAAGTGTTGCAAAGGACCCTCAGCTATTAATGCGATTAAATGTAACTCAAAATCTGTAGAACTGATCAAATTTTGGCCATCGTTTGTTTTGGAATGACGAAAAGCTGTCGCAGCCGTCATTAATTCTAGAAGTTATTCAGTGGTACACACACACACACACACACACGCACACACACACGCACACACACACACACACACACACACACACACACACACACACACACACTTACAGTCAGGCTTTGAATTGTGCCGTTCAGTAACTATACTATGACTAGAATTACAACCCTCGTTGACCTTTGCCCTTACACGACCAAACAAGGGCAGTGACCTCACATTTTTCTAATTCCTCTTTCCATTTTTAGTTTCATATTTGTCATGACTCAGCAGGTGTGGGTGGTGTCTTGCCCTCAGATGCAGCTGGCTGCAGTGTGTCACTCGTGAACGATCAGCTGAGTCATTAGTCTTAGTTAAGCATTAAAACACAATCCTGCAGTATGATAGATAACATTGTTCACAGGTTTCTGAAGACTGCAGGGACTATGTCAAACTCATCCTTCAACTCATTTCCTGGAGTTTATTTAGTCTAATTAAACTGGGAAATGCTGAAGTTTAACTTGGAGGAATTTCAACACCAATAGTGTAATTACTCAAAGAGTAGTGAGTTGTCGCTCCATGCAAGAGATGCGTCTTTCATCTGGAAAGTTGAAATATACTTTGATGCAGATTCTTAAAGCAGAAATCCAGAGTTTTTTGTCAGAGGGCACCATCTAGATGCCCTACTACTGTGATTACGACTGGGCGCAGCGCCTCTCATTCATAAACGTGCACCTCTAGCCGGCCAATGGAGCTGGAACGCATTGTTTTAAAAATGATTATTCTCATGTTATGTATTTTTTTCATTGAAGGTCAACTTTACTCATGTTTTAATAGATTTGCAGTAGTCTCTAGAAGGAATGAGTTTCTTGTAAGTTGTACTCTGGGGGACCAAAAGCTCAGGTGCTCCTGTTTCAGGAACTAGAAGTGAAACAAGATCAGAATTGAGCTTCAGACGGCAGGATTTGGAGTCGTATGTCCTGATACAGCAACTTGACTCTACCACTGATTCCATTTGCTCTGCAACATTGATATTTTATCTCCACAAATAACACACAACCTGTCAGTCACCCACACACACCCACACACATTAGCATGCTGGTAATATTCATGTCCTGGCTGATTGGGGTTATGTGGTTGTGTTTGGTCATTTATCAGAGCTCCTGGGCCATTTTGAGCCCCAACAAAGTTTCACATGCTACGTAGAGGCTCAAAGAACATTTTCCTATGTAAAAAAAAAGTAGTTCTAGAACCCCTTGAAAGTAGCAATTAACACTTTAAGCTATTCCTTCAAAGTGGGTTAAGGTGAGTGTGTGAGTATAAACTTTACTATCTTCACCCTGAACAGCCCTATGCTGATCAGAAAACACACTCAATAGTTATGTGGAGCAGTTAGGTGCCCCATAAGGGAGCTCTTTACCTGCTTTACGGCTGTTAGCTGTATAGAAGTTAGCACTTTCAGTTTGACGATCGTCAATAAAAAGCAGAAGAAGAAAAAAGAAGTTTGCTTTGTGTTGGCATCATGGCGGAGCCTGGAAGTAAAAGTAAGAGAGTAATGTCGTTGGAGGTGAAGCAAAGAGCTAAAACCAGAGTGAACATCGGCACAGCCCTGCACTAGTTTGAGGGAGCTAAAGGAGGCTACAAAATTACGGACTAATGGTGACCTGGCTTTGTTGCTACTGGACTTGTAAGTAATAATATTTTCATCCAAGAGTGTGGATCTCTTTACTTTGTGGCTTATTTTGATATTAGTTGGTTCATGTTGGTGTTAGCTTGTTGTTAGCACTAGCTGCAGGGTTGTTTATGACAAAATTTCACTTTCAACCAGTAGGGCGAAGGAGCAGGAAACTGGAGGGTTAGATGATGAATAGTTAAACATTTTATTTATGTTTATTCATTTAGCAGACGCTTTTATCCAAAGCGACTTACAATTTATAACCTATAGGGCATGTTGTGATCTGTGGGGGAAACCGGAGTACCCGGAGGAAACCCACGCATGCATGGGGAGAACACGCAACTCCACGCAGAAAGGCCATAGTCGAGTTTCGAACCTGCAACCTTCATGCTGCGAGGCAACAGTGCTAACCACTGCGCCACCATGCAAATTTAATATGCTCTGTTTCATTTCTTCCACTTTTCTTCTCTTTTTAAATTGTACTTTTTGATTTTTGAATATCCTTGATAGTCATCGTTATGTTTAGTGAACTTGATGCCTTTTTATTTTCAATCTACAGAAACGTCTGCGTGAAGCTGACGTCTTATATGTGTTCTTTATTGAATTGGACCACTGGTTCATGATAATAAACCAAAACCAACAAACTAATTTATACAAACATAGTAACTGTATATTTATGTTTTTGCCTCATCAGTATTTTTTTAAATAAAACAAATTAGGAGAAACCAATTTGTTAATGCAACGGCTGAAAAAAGTACTTCGAACAAATCTATCTTGTGTTTTTCAGTGACAACTAAAAGAATGTGATCCGCACTGCTCTGACCCCTCAACTCCCCACAACCCCCTAATTATAAATTCTACTTTTACACTCTGAGGCGTGGTCCTGTCAGACTGTGCGCTACAAATTAAAGGACACACATGCCTGTCGATTCAAAGAGGACATTGTATTACAACTTACATGCTGTCTTCCTCTGTTTAAAAGGTCAGGAGTCGCGTCTCTGATCTTCCAGTGGGGGGAAATATTTTTTTTTACTGTGAAAAACAAGTTAACAGGGTTGTAATGAGATAGAATTAACTGTGAAACCTTAGATTCTTGGTAGAATTTGTGGTTTGTGAACACCTGAGTGAAATTAACTCTAACGAGCATCATGCCCCCACACAAAACTCATTAGGGTGTTCATGCAGTTAAACACTGCATTTAAGGCCCTGTCCACATGTAGCCGGGGATCTGCCAAAACGTAGATATTTTTCTACGTTTTGGCCTGTCATCCACACGAAAACTGAGATTTTTTTCACACGAAAACGGATCTTTTTAAAAACTCCGGCCAAAGTGAAGATCTGCGTTTTCTCCGTTTTGGGTGTCTGCGTGTGGACAGACAAAACCGGAGTTTTAAGGTCCGCAACGTCACTTTCCGCGACAAAAAAAATGCTGACATCACGTGTGCGACCTGTGTTTACACTAGCCGACAGCATGGATGCCCTCAGAGCTGCACTCGCTTTATCAATTGTCCAAGCGCTTTTTGCTTGTTTGTTTTTGCAAGCGGAATTACTGCTCCTTGCGGAAGACCACAGACGAAGGACGAGGTTAAGAACGGGGAAGTACTGCCGCCTACAGGTCTGGCATGTCCTTAACAACGTATTTATCCGGGTACGTGTGGACAGAGTTTTTTTTAAACGAGGTGGTGTGGATGCAAGTTTTTGGA